GTTATTTTTTTATTTGGTTTTCTATTTTATTTTTCTCCAGATTGCCAATACATTCTGTCACCCTCCAAAGGACCTCTGTGCTCCTGCATGAACACGTGTCAGTGGCTACAGCCCTTTCTTAAGATAATCTTTGCATTAAAAAAAAAAGCGTTCTGCCAAAGTTTTTGTGAATGCTCAACAGGGCAATACAGGATGGTGTTTAACTACCTCTACAGAACAAACAGCTTCATTCACCACTAGTTTCTGTGCTAGGCGTAAGGTTTTATGTTCAAAAGGATCTAACTTCCCAAAGAATGTCAACTTTCTGCAAGATGGGCTTGTCACTCCACACAGGCAAGCTTGCCCTACTCTACATATTTCAACTATACTGCTGGCTTAAAAAGATGCACTGGAAAGAGTGATTCAAGAGAGCTGGCAAAGAAGAATATTTCTAGGAAACTAATTTGACTATCAGCACAGTGACAGTAGCATGGCACAGAAGAATCCAAATTATACCCTTTTGCCGGTTTAGAAATGCAAGTAATATACCAGTTCATCGAACCACACCTTCTCGGCAAAGCAGCTCAGGTAACGATCAGATTTCAGGGATATATATTTTTAATCAACGTGAAAGTGGAAATATATACATATATTTTAAAGAAAATATTTCATTACAAGCTTTGCCTGTGAAAACATACTGGTCGGAGATCCATGAATACCCAATTCACTGGCAAGTAATTCATGTTATTCTGTCAAAGTGCCCAGAAATGCCAGCCTGTCAGTTCAAAGCAGAAATAGAATATTTTAACGTTTAGTTACAATGAGCTAGACTGATAGACCTTGTAGCTGGGCAGGTAACCACCAGTCTTTAAATCTGAAGCGACGTTGATGCACAGAGTTTCATCTCTCTAAATCAAGTCTGGGAGAGGCAATTTCAAATTGTTTCACTTTTCAATATTATGTAGGCTTTTTTCTAAGCGCACATAGCGGGCTTGTTTAGAGCCTTAAGTACCTAAAGCAGTAAGACAAAGAGAAAAAGTTCTGGTAACAAAGAAAAGAGAAGGTTTGCTCTTTATTCAACTATTACGTTGGCACTGAATGTGAACACTCCCAGTGACCTGAAGTCCTAATCAGAAATCACTTCTGCCACATGACATTCATCTTGCCACATTGCTCTATTACTGCAATGTTTGTAACTTTTGATCTAGAAATATCAAGTTACATAAGATCATGGTTGCGCTCCTTCTACGAGGATGCGATTCTGTCAAAAAATGAACCAACGATGCGGAAATCCTAACAGAACTGGAAATGACTTTCCCAGGGAAAAGGAGGATAGTTTTCTTTAAGCGTGTTGGCTATTTAAAGTGGAACCACATTTAGTGCCTGGTTATGTTTTCCTGGGAAGAGAAACGGTGTAATACCAGATTTTAAAAAAATGACGAGGACAGACTTATTTAACTGAGACACTGGATACATTGTAAAGAGGATGAAACGGCATTTGGGTTGGCATGCACTCCAGGTAAACAACCCAAGAAAAGAAGAAGAAGAAAAAAGAAAAATTAAATAACAGCAAGAAGAGACCCCCTGAAATGAAACAAGAAAAAACTCTCACGCTACTGCCTGACCACAAAATAGATGGAAGTACTGCAGTTAAGCTAGGCAAGGCAAATCATTGTGAGGGCTGTTTCAAGAAAAACAGAATACAAGTGCACCCCATACCTGCAAAAACACAGAGGGCAGTCTTCCCTTTGCCACCAGCTTAACAAAAGACCAAAGAACCAGAAGACCAAAATTAGATCAGAAGATCAAAATTAGATTCTTTCTTCCTTCTCCCTCCCATTCCCTTTTCCCAATATCCCTCCTTATCTCCCTCCCACTTAAAAACAGAGGTTAGCTTTGCCTGCCCCAGCCCCCTTTAAACTGAAAAGACAACTAGAAGGCAACTCTTTCTAAAGAACAGACCTGCTCCTCTTTCCCCGCCACGCTCCCCAAAGGAAGAAAGTCTGAGAAAGCCCCCCCAAATCCAAAACATGTTTTCCCCTCCAATGCACAGACCATGATCTCTCCAGTAAATAGCACAAAAAGTGAACACGCTGACTCCTTCCCCCTTCAAAGACACACACACACTCACGGGGAAGGGTAGAGCGCAACAGAAGCTGATCTCAGCAGCTACTGGAGGAACAGGACGCATGCTTGCCTGCTATGTACGCTACGGCAGGAGCTCTCCATCACAGTGACTTTTGGGGACAGGTTGCAGGAAACAGGTTGCTTGCAAACATCCTTCACCCCAGCTCTGCACACAGAGAGACCCCCCTTGCCTCTGTCGCAAAGAAATCCAGTGTGCAAAAGCAGACGACCCAACCCCTGAAACAAGCAAAACCACCAGGCATGTCTAAGCCCCCAGAGTAAATGACCCCCCCATCGCACGTGTGCATGCACACACACACCCCCACGAGCACCTCACACGCCCTCCAAATCTGCTGGGCACAAGCACTGATCATTCCCTTGCACAAGCATTTGCTTCTGAACCGGAAGGATCATGGCAGCAGGAAATCCTAATGGCCCCGAACAGTCTCAGCCTGGGAGGATTTATCCAGCAGAATGGAAAAGGCTAGCATCTAGGAATAAGAGGGGAGGGAGACTCACAACAGCCAGGCAGCTATAAAACGCCAGCGCCTTCTTGTCACAAGCACAACCCTCCCCCCCAAAAATAAAAATAAGAGTGTGCACGCCCAGCCCTGCCACTCTCAGTCCTTGTCTTTGCCAAGCATAGTAAGGTGCAGAGGGATTTTTATTCTCCCTCTGCCGTACATACAAACATGCACACCGCTCCGGTTTCTTCATCTGAGCCTATGCAAGTGCTACAGACCGAGACACCAAGTAGGAGGTGTCTCGGTCTGTAAAGGCCAATGAAATAAATTAAATACAAATTACTGACTCGGTGCCATCCTCCCACAAAGCTCTCCACTCCCAAGGAAGCTCGATTTGTTAGAGCGAACTGCCGCCCTTGACTTGTTGTTCCTGGGGCCAATGTGGGCATATACGCCCAGGCACGGCTGGTACGTAGGGTTGTGGTGCTATCCAGGCATACGTAGCAGATCCTGGCTATGGCAAGCACATATGGCACACACATTGGTGGAACGACACTTTTCATGGAAGAGGAGGGGCCACCCCAGAAGCAAACCATTTTATTGGGGTCAGACAGACAGAAATATATTAGACTCGGGCTGTTTAGTGCCATAATTCCTCCCCCACAACTTCTGTGTCCATAGCACAGCAACATGCAATGACTTGCAATGCTGAAGCACAAGTTTATGTGGAAAGGAAAGAGTCAACTGCAACTTTAAAGTCTCATTTTGGCTTATGAAAGCTTAATGCAGGGATACAAAATAAAAACCTAAAATGATTGGGGGGAAGGGAGGGGATGATTTTTTGGGAGGTGGGGAGGGGTTGGGATTCTCTTGCAAATCTTAATAAAACTTTCCTGGAAGGTCATAAGTAAATACATGCCGAAGAAACAGAAAAAAACCCCCAAACTTGTCTATCAAGTAAATAAATATTTAGGCAGACCTGCTTTGAATGTATGAATAAAATATTTTGAAAATGTGCATAATCCAGCCAATAGACTGGAAAGACTATTGCATAAATGCATATTTCCCAATCATTTTCAAACTACATAGTATTTGTTTACATGGTTGAAACTATAATGACTTTCAACCCATTATAGTATGGCATTAGAGCGTAAATAAATATCTCCTGATGTAACACTCGCAGCATTTCTTTAAAACAAAAAGTACTGCATTCGTATTAGCAGTGGCCACTTCCAAAGTTCAGGCTCCCAGCCATTTTAGTGCATGAATTCATTTTTTTAAACAAAATAAATAATGTTGCGAATACAGATAAATGCGTGGTTAAGCAGGAGTCTGCGTGCTCCTGTTCCGTAATAAAACAGCGCTTTGTAAAGACATCTGAATCTAACACAAATCTAAAACGTGACATGTTTCATCAGGTATTTTGTATTAAAAACCCGTTCAAAGTGCCAAACTACTTTTTTGGGGGGGGAGGGGGAGGGAAGGGGGGGAGAAGGGAAGCAAGGCAGGAAGCAGGCATGTGAAATGGGAGACCAAACCTTTCCTTAGGCAAGTTGTAATCTAGCAGATTGATTTTAAAATATAGGGGTGGGGAGGAATCCACCCTTCTCAAAATGTGGGACCTCTTACACAACCTCAACTCCAGCACCGGTCCAAATGTGTGCACACCCCCCCCCCACACACACACACTGTACACGCACACACACTACCAGGGCATGTAGGACCTAAAGGATGAAGAGAGGGGCACAAAAATTGAAAGGTGGTCTGTGCAAATGGGAAATAACAGGGCTCTTTTTTGTTCCCCCTTTTTTGCAGCTATTCCACCTTAATAAATGATAACAGGGATTGATTGCTCCAGGAGCCCATCTCAGCTACAGCCCTCTCCCAGTCTCCATCCTCCTTCCCCAGTCTTGCTGGAGGGACCTGATCTAGACACTGATCCAGATGCATGGGGGGGGGGGGGGGTAACCCTCCCAAACACACCCAGCACACACCTAAATTGTCCAGGCTCCAGGCAGCTTGTCCCCAGCAATAATCCAGCCAGCATCTCCCCGCCACTGAGCCATGAGCTCCAGGAACTACAGCTGTACAACTGTGCCCAAGGAAGGAGCTGGAGCAGCAGCAGCAGCAGCAGTCTGGAATGTGTCTGCCAGAGGCTGGGAAAGCAGAGCCATGCAGGGGGCTGAGGGGCTTCTGCTCCCCGCCCCAGGAGGGGGATCAGGGCAGGGAAGGGCAAGGAGGGAGGGAGGTGAAAAAGTGCCTCGCTGCAGAAAAAGGGATCGGAGAGGTGGGAAAAAATCCCCACAGCTCGAGAGAGCTGTGAAAAGACTGTGTGTGGGGGAGGGAAGAGGAAAAAGCTGGAGGAAGAAATACAAAATGCCCCTTTTTAATTATTATTATTTTCCACGGCAAAAAAAAAGGCAAGCTTACCATGTCTGCAGGCTTCCCCAGTGCAAAGCCACTTATAGGTACAGCTCCTCAGCAGGATCCCAAAGTGGGCAACTACAGCCAGGCACAGGAGCTCATCCTAAAAAGAGGCAGAGGAACAATACCACCACCACCACCACCACCACCACACAGACCGGTCCAGCTTCTTCCCTGGCAGAAAGTGTCCCTGGTAAGGCTGCCCAGTACAAGCAGCTGCAATCCAAAGGCTTTATTTAAAGCTTCCACCCCCCTCCCCTCCTCTCCTTGCCTCTCTCTCCCTCTCTCTCCCTCCGTTACACACATACACAGAGAGAAAGAGAGACACACACAGGTTACATGAATGGGAGGCAGGAACCAATCCTACAATGCCTGGGAATGACAAGCACACATGCATTCAAAGCTGGTCTGCACCACTCAGGAGCAGGGGGGAGGCAGGCTCTGCTCAGGTGATGCTTCGCAGCTCCATCTCCATCCCCAGCACGGCCCCCTTTTCCCCCTCCCGCTCCAATCCGGGCCAGATTCCACCTTTGGGGCTGGGCTCCCTTCAAGCTGCTGCAGCCTCCACACACGCAATGCCAGGCTCTGCCTTCCCAGCCACTAGTTACACTCCTTGCCCTGTGTCTGGACTTTCATGTCCCTCGCTCCAAGATCACCAAATAGCAGCACTGTCAGGAGACTGGGGTTTTTTTGGGTTTTTTTAATCATGTCTCTAATGCCAGGCATCTAGATTTTCTTTTTTTTTTTAACACACATAACCAGAGGGAGGGGGAAACGTGCCCCTTTTTTTAGACCCAGAGCTTCAAAGATGATTTCTGAATGAGGGGACAGAGTAATGCTGCCAGACTGGTGGTTTTAATCATCCTCCTGAACGGGTTTAGGGGCTGGGAAATCAACACTTTGCCAGCTCAGATTTGCAAAGGAGAAGGACAATCTGGGAATAAGGAACTGATTGGAGTTGCAGGCCCTGACACTGAGTGCCCGTGTGACCTTGAGCAAGTCACTTGAGGCCCCCCCCCCCCCCAATTGGATTCACTACTGGTGAGACACCCACCAGCATGCCCAAAGGCTAGGGAGAAGCTGCCTTTATAAAGGCACATCTTGTTGACTAGATCCCTGTCCTTAGCTAAACTGTATTCTGGCCGAAACCCCGGATGCCTTGTACTTGCAGTTTCCACTCCTCACCTTAAAGTCTCATCTCAAAATTCTCGCCTATGAAACCTCTCAGTAACGATGTATCCATGGTTTCCAAAAGGTCTCAGGGGAGAAGCATCATGCACTATGCGATACAAACCTGACCTGTTTCATCCAAGTCCCTGCTAGCTACAGGGTCCACGGCAAGGACTGTAACTCCTAGTGTATTCACACACATTGGAGTACGTTTATAGCACCCAAAGCTGCTGACATGAAGGACGTGATGCAAAATAAAAGATGAATTTTGGGAAAGTTTCACGCACAGGACAACTGCAAAGTTGGGCCCCAAAACCATGCTGTAAAAAAGGACTGCCAGTAAGACTGATACATAATGCAATGCTTCAGCATAAGTTTAAACTACATAATAATAAACCTGCAGTCTCCTGCTTTTTTCATTCTAGCTCTCATCCTACTCTTTCCATCCTCTGATAAGAGCAAGCAGGTACCATTATATTTTAATCCAAACCAGAAATCAGAGTGAAAGGGCACACAGTAAATCAGAGGATCATCATAGGCGGCAGAATTCTCAATGCAAAAATCTATTATGCAAAAGAGCTGCTGTTATTCATGCTTTTTGAATTGTATATATTAAAAATGAACTATATTTGCATTGACGTTATCGATTCTGGAATACATTCCAAACCAGGAATGGGTCTTTAGAAGGGCAGATATTAATTGGGAAATGTATGCATCTTCTAGAAGATACCTCATCCAAATTCAATGGTAATTGTATAAGCTTTTCAAAAATCATACAGTGTGCAAGCTTCCAAAATTTTTGAACAAGAAACATTTCCATTTAAATGCCAAGAGGCAATTTTCCCCTTCTTGTTCAATACTAAATCAGTCACATGAGCAGCGTGCATTTGATTTTTAGAAAAGGAAAGTAGAACATCTTCACTTGCACTTGACTCTAACTTTTGCTTTCTCCTGTTTGTTTAGGGTTTTTACTAGCTCTGTACTACTTTTTGAAGTTCGGCCATGTTGACAAAATGTTCACTGCAGCTATTTTATTTTTTAATACTTCAAACAAAGTTATTAATAGAAAGCAGAACACCCAAGGACCCATTAGGACAGTGGCAGCTAAATCCACATTTAACAGATCAGCATTCATCCTATAATTGGCTTTTTCTTGTTAACTGAACTAGACAATGATGCTTTTGGGAGAAAAACAAATGGAAAAATAGTAAATTTAATGGGGAAAACTACTTTGCTTAGGAAAAGTCCCCCTCCCCCGCTTCAATTCAGTACAAATTACCACGATTGCAGAAGTGTGTGGCATACAGATTTGGAGTGCATCATTATAAAGATGTTCATTTTCAAATGCTTTTGCCAGCCTCAGTTGCTGTGCCATGTGCATGTTCTGCAACACAGCAGACAAGCGACAATGCAATGCTCAATGTGAAGGTTAGGCATTTGGATAGATTATTTTCCAAAACGGGGCATTTTTTGCCAACTTGTTAAGAGGCTGTGTCTGTGGTGCAAGAAGGTGCCTGGAAAGACTAATGCATTAGCCCATTAGACCTTGTGCTCCAGAGGACAACGAGATCAAGTCCTGAAGCTGTTGTTCAGATTAGCACTTAATGGTCCTGATGTCAGGTTGTGTTTCCAGGCTGACATTTGCTCCCAGAAAACAATGAAAACACTGATCATAAAGTTCCCATTCATCAAGCCCAAAGTAGCAACATCTGCTGTGGTCAAAGGTGTCTCACTGAAGAAGTTCAGCTGCTGAGGTGCCTTTTGCTGATTGGGATGCCCTTACCAAGAGGTGCCATGCCAGCTGACAACCATTGCTACAGAATATTTTTCAGGAGGTTAATAAAAAGGCACGAATGCATTTACTGGTGTTTTAATCAAGGGGGAGGAATCACTGATTCAGAGAGCACAACATAACGCATGCCCATTATTTGATGGGATATTTTTCCTAATCAGATCTCTTTTTAAATGCGAAGTCATATCCTGCATCATCTTTTGTGTTCTGCTTGGAGAAGTCCCCCAAATCTGGTAGGATCTATGCAATCCAAATCCAGAAACATGCCACTTCTCCCTCTTTCCCCCAAGGAGCAAACCATTTCTATCACTAAACAAATTCTGCAAATGTTTGCTCATGAGAGAAATCCCCTTTAAGGCAATGGGAAAATTCAGATACAGAAGGGTTTACAGAATCAGGTTATAAATGTTGGTTCCTCCTACCCTTACCTATGTGCACCATCTGGGTAAAGCTAATGGGACAATGTACACGAGCAAGGGTATAGGATCATGGACAAGGGTATAAGATCAGCAGGCAAACCAAGTCAGTCACCACCTAGCTAACACAGGCAACAAACAGAAGGGAAGCAGTGGATGGCACAGACTAGCAACCTGCCTATGTAGGAATCATCCCCAATGGCTCATGCAGCCTGCACTGACATCTGTGCCAATGCATCTTGGGGGCTAGTGGCTCTGTGCTGGTGAGTTTAAAGTTAGCAGGAAAACATGCCTCCAGGCTACTTGTTTGTAGTACAGACTTAAAAAAAAAATGAAGCAGACATTTGAGGGTGTGTAGGGAGACCTGTCCACGCAGAGGAATCTGGATCGGAGCCCAGATTTGTAGCCACATTTCCCTCATGTGGGATAATGGAAATTCAAAACCCTCTTCGTGGATCAGAGCTGGAGTAGAGGCACCGAGATGTTTCATGGCCAACCTGGCAGGCCCTCCTCTTGGTCAGACTATATCATTTGTCAGAAGTGGACTCAGGACTCCTGCCAAAATCTTTCCTTACACATGTGGTTTCAGTACCTCCGTCCCCTCTGTTCGATGCTGCCTCCAAAGCCTTTGCATCTTTCATTGCTGCAGCTTCGTTGGCGGCTCCATGACCGTGTTTCGATGGAGTGGAAGGGGAGGTGTTTCCATACGTGAGGCTGTATCAGCTTATCATCAGGAACAAATTCTTTACGGTGAGGGTTGCCAAAATCTGGAATGGGCTTCCAAGGGAGGTGGTGCTTTCCCCTACCTTGGAGGTGTTTAAAAGGAGATTAGACAAGCACCTGGCTGGGGTTACTTAACCCCAGCGCTCTTTCCTGCCCAGAGCACGGGGTCAGACTCGATAATCTAATAGGTCCTTTCCGACCCTAGAAATCTATGAAATCTATGAAATCATCTCTTTTCTAGCCAGGTGCCAGACAGTGGGGAATGTTGCACTTCCTCTTGGCTTGCCACACAAAGATCTCTACTGATCCCAGGGCTTGATGGCAACAAAACTGAGCAAGGATCCTGTATTTGCCCTCAAGACGGCAGGTCATTCTCAGAAGCTCTCTCTATAGCACCATTCCCTAAACCCTGCTTTCCTTCATTGCAGACAAGGATGCTTTAAACATGAGAGTGACTGAAATGAGCAGAGGTAGCAGAGATGCTGATGAAGACAGGCTCAACTCTTAGTTCACGCATAGGAAAAAATCCTATGAGTCGTCTAGTTTTTGCCTGAATAGATATTGCAGGATGGGGACCGCATGCTTGTAAACCCTTTTACTTGCTTATTGTAGGATACGCTTATAGTCCAGTGCCAATAAAACAAAACTATATACGGTAAGCACAGTAAAAATCAAGAGCAGAGTTACAACCATTTACAAACAGCAGATGAGCTCCACGGCTGACATCCAGTTTTATAATTCTGTCAGGGACTGTGCACTCTTATGGGTAATGTGTACGAGACAATTATTTATAGGCAATTAGACGTAGGGTCCTGAAAGTGTATAGGTCTGTATTCTCCCTTGCCTAGGCCTATTATTTTCTCTCTTCTTTTGAATTATTTATATTTTAACTCTGTGTTTTCTTTTTTTTTTTACTATGGAAGGCATTTTGGGATGTAGCATGCATGAAAGGCGCTTGCTCCTCAAATAATGCGGTCTGTTATTGTATAAACATGTTGCGTACACCATATGGGGCCAACTTCAAAT